TCTCTCTCTCTCTCTCTCTCTCTCTCTCTCTCTCTCTCTCTCTCTCTCTCTCTCTCTGGCTATCAGAGTCTACTGTGGATGCTGCTGCTGTTTTGTGTTGCTCGCTCATCCCCTCACCCTCATCCCCTCACCCGCACCCACTCACACTTTCACTCCCTCTCTCCCTCTCTCATTGTCTGTCAAGTTGGAAACCTGTTTACTACTAGTGTCTGTCTGTCCTCTCTGTCTGTCTGACGGTGTGGCGCTAACTATTTCTTTCCCCGAGCAAAGCAATGAAGCCTATTAGCTCTGCAGAGTGAGACAGACTCACTTCTCACCAAGGACATTACCAATTACCCAATGACGTTCTATGGTGACAATCATTAGGTGTTGTTTGGCTGCATCAAAAAAAGCAAAAAACAACATTTTTGTTTCATTGTTTAAAATATTTGAGCTGAGGCTGTTTGCTGATGATGCATGACAACGGCGTTCCCCTCCGCCTTCTCATATTCCTGCTTTTTATATTGCATAAATTGAAATATTTAAATCAAAATACAATTTTTTAAAATAAATGAATTTTTTATTTTAAAATAAAGACATGCAAGTTTGAGCTAGTTTTTTATGTCAAAGCTAAAAAAGTCAAAACCAATAAAATTTGATAAACAAATTATACTTACAAGTTCAGTTCATTATTGTTTGGTAGAAAAAAACTACCAGTGAGACGATAAAAAGGCCGGTGTGGAGGACAAAGTGATAGTCCAACCGGAAAATTCTGAAGACTTTCACTGCAAACAGTCGCTCATACAGGGCCATTTCATAGAGGCGGATGCGCCGACTCTGAATTAGACTGCGAAGTCCCTTCAGCCGCTCCATTTGCTCGTCGGTGCCAAACTGTGATTGTTTGTTCATGAATTGTACAATTCTGTTCTCTTTCCACTCATTTCGAGCCTTTAAAATGGCCATCGTCTGGCGAACGACCACGCAAACTCGTTCATTGCACCAGATAAGATACTTTGTGTAGCCGTATGCAAAAAGCATGTGAACAATGGGCCGAAAGTACGGTTGGCAAATGAAGGCCAGAGAAAAGACGAGGATTATGTTAAAAACATTGAGGAGAATGGTCGCCAAAAGAGGAGCGTTCAACAGGCAATTCAGTCGGTGGTTAGTCAGTGCCAGCTGCTTAATCTCCTCAATTGTCTCATTTTCCACCTGAAACTGCCGTGACCAGGCCACCGTCTCCTTCTTCTCAATGGCCACCAGCCGCTCCTTGAGGGCCTCGAGCAGCTGACGAATGCCATTTTGTGCGTAGTGCATGACAATGCACATCCAGTAGAGGTAGTTGAAGACCATGTACAGGCAGAAGTACTCCAGCAGTTTGCTGGTAGTCAGCTGGTAGTCAGTCTGACGGAAACGGTCAGAAAGCGCCCACACAAAGAAGAGGTGCGGCACAATGAGGTAGGTGGAGAAGACGGCCACCGTCCAGCAGTTAAGGTGACCACCACCACTGCAGTACACCCGCCGGAAACAGGGCCCATCGAGCAGTAGCACCAGTTGGCGACCGTAGGCGGTGAAGTAGGCAAATTTGAAGACAAAGAGCGCAGGATAAGTGTACTTTGTGCCTGCCAAAACGAAAGAGTAGAAAAGGGGCTGTTTTGAAGGCGAGGTACAGGTCCGGACGATGGACTGCAGTTTGAGACAGTCCAGAGTGTAGAGGCCATAGACGAGGAAGATGGTGACGGAAAGGCGCCAACAGAGGAGGAGAAGGCGCACTGGCCTCAGTGGCCAAAGGTGAGGACGACTGATCTGGGCGCCCAGCAGCAGGTAAAAGTAGGTGAACAGACGGAGAAGTGGAGTTTCAATTTTCACCATCGCCATCACAGCACATCATCACAAATCGACTAACTAACAGGAGGGGAACTGTTTTCATTATTTTGTTTTTCTCGTTGTTTCACTGAGGGTGCTTGTTGACAGCAGTATCCAATTTNGCCAAAGGTGAGGACGACTGATCTGGGCGCCCAGCAGCAGGTAAAAGTAGGTGAACAGACGGAGAAGTGGAGTTTCAATTTTCAACATCGCCATTACAGCACATCATCACAAATCGACTAACTAACAGGAGGGGAACTGTTTTCATTATTTTGTTGTTTGGGTTATTTTTCTCGCTGTTTCACTGAGGGTGCTTGTTGACAGCAGTATCCAATTTGTGTCAAAATTTGTCTGACGTGTTGACATTGTTTTGTGTTCCTAACTTTTACATGGTTAGTAAATGCTACAAAATTTGGGTTAACTTTGAGTTCAATGAGCAAAAAAAAGTGTCAACTGCTTTTCAAACTAAAAAGTTCAAATTTTGGCACGTTGCACAGAAAGCTCCAATTGTTTGGTTTAAAAAGCAATCACCACTCACCAAAAAACAGCAAAATTAAAATCAGAGCTATTTGAAACTGCCACCTCAGCATTGCATCAAATTTCANAACAAAATTTTGGCAAACTTTGAGTTCAATGAGCAAAAAAAAGTGTCAACTGCTTTTCAAACTAAAAAGTTCGAATTTTGGCACGTTGCACAGAAAGCTCCAATTGTTTGGTCTAAAAAGCAATCACCACTCACCAAAAAACAGCAAAACTAAAATCAGAGCTATTTGAAACTGCCACATCAGCATTGCATCAAATTTCAAGATGCCTTACTACCACCGTTCGTGGAACGTCGCCCTGGGCGAAGCGGAAATCAAGTCAGGACGTCATGTGCGCAAGTGTCCTCTCAGTGAAAACGGCCAAAATGTCTGCTCTTCAAAAAAGTCAGCCAAGAGCCCTGACCCGCAGACAATTGAACTAGCTCGATCGACTCTGAAGTTTGAGGTAGAAGGGTTGAAGGCGACTCCCGGCGCCATTCCCATCAAGGACGCCCAGCAGGCTTTCGAGCAGTACGTCCTGCAGAAGAAGGAAAAGCCCGTGTACGAGGGAAAGCACAGTGCCGTGGTCAACTGCAGCAACCCTAGCAAGCCAAGTGAGATGCGACTCATCTGTCACATCTACGAGCCGCCAGCCCGAGTCTTTGTCTCTGCTGGTTTTGAGTACCTCTTTCTGAAGGTGCTGCGCAAGTTGGGTAAGCTGAAAAGAGCAACAAAATGTTATCATAACATTCGTTAATCTGATTTTAGGCAACACCAATCCGCACATTATCTCCACATTTGACATCTTTTGCGACGACGATCGCCAGGTGTACATCTTCCAGGAGTTTGCCTCAAAGGGCAACGCCCACGACTACATCAAGTCGGCCTCTAATGACAGCCTCGTCGACGAGTCGACCGCCCTCGGCTGGGCGCAGTCCATCTACAGTGCCCTCGACCACTGCGGCGCCCTGGGCATCGCCCACCGAGCCATCGAGCCGAGCCACGTGCTGCTGGTGGTGGCCACTGCTGGCGGCGATTCGGTGGTGGTCGCCAAGCTGGGCGGCTTCCACAACGCCGTCATCTACTACGACCCGGAGCGCTGCGACCTGGTCGACCTGCCCTGTAAGTCGCCCGGAAAGCGTCCCTTCTACCCGTACCAGGCGCCGGAAGTTTTTGGCGAATCGGGCGAGTACTTCAACGTGGTGGACGCCGATGTGTGGAGCTTTGCCGCCACCTTCCTCTTCATTGCCGGGCGCCTGGAGCCGCAGGAGGTGATCAAGGACAAGGCGCCGTCGTCGTCGTCGTCGAGCAGCTCCTCAAGTCTTGATGACATCATCTTCAAGAACATCGACGCAGTCGCTCGACTGAGTGAGGCTGCCAAGTACTTCTTCTTCGGCTGTCTGCGCGCCAACACCGCTCAGAGAACCTCTTTTGATGCGATCGCCCTTGATTCGTGGATGCAGGGTGACCAGCAATCGCCGTCAGTTTGAAGGAAAAAGGAGAAGCACTGTTCTTCTTTTTTCTGTTTGGCCTTTTTAACCGGTCAACTTTGCCAATTTTGTGAGCCAAGATACATCTTTTTACGCCTGGCCAACTTTTACAAAAAAAATATTTGTTTTGTAAAGCTCACTTCACCGCCGTCTGCTGGCGCAAATGCAAACGTCAAATTCAGCAACCTAAAGTTCCTTTTTTTGGTTTGAAAAATTAAAATTAAGAACTTTTATTTGGTGATATAAACCTTTGTGCTTCGTATTCAATTTTATTTCAGCTGCCGTGTTACACTGTGCATTTCAAACACTTTTCCACTACCATTGACTTGATAACTTGATACAATCGGGCCACCATGTTTACATCACCTCTTCTTATATTGGTGGTAGTCATCATGAGCACTACTTTTATGTGGAACTGCGTCCTTGCTTCCACAGTCAGCAACGACTTCAGTAGTGGCAACAGCAGCGACATTAGCAGTAGCAGCAGCGTCATCATCCCCACTGATGTGACCACTCCAGCAAAAACCATCACCCCCAATGTTACCACCATCAGCACCTCTGAGCCCACCTCAGTCAGCTCGATTGAGGGCATCTCTGACAAAAATGATACAGCTGGAGGTGAGGAGAATAAAA